AATATGTATATATATATATATATATATATATATATATGAATTTAATGCAGAATTAAGTAGAATAAAATAATAATAATATATAATTTAATATATGTTCATTGCACTGACCATTTCTCATTTTGAAAAATCCTTACCCGGTGGGCCTAATTAAAAAAAAAAAAAAACTGGTCATACAAATCTATAGTTCAGAAAGTGTAGAAACCATTGTAACTATATTTTTCTGTTTCATTTACATATAATAAACAACCAGTCGAGCTCTAGCTCTGGATAATAAGATATTCTACAGACACACGGTTCTCATCTTAAGAGGTCAGTGTGAGACATCGAGTGCTTTGAGTGTCCATGTGCAGGTGACACCTCATCAGTGCACACACACACAGACAGGTCAGGTCAGTCAGCCAGAACAAAACACATACACTTCTCTGTTGAAAGGATAAGTGCTCCACAGTGTGTGAAGTCATACATGCATATAATTGAGTATAATGAGCGTGTTTCACTGCTTGGGTCATTACAGTATAACAGATGATTCATTTGATATGCCACCGAGAATCACACGCTTCCCCTGAATGACGGCTGAACCCTGGCTGTTCATTTAGCCACCTCACCGCCCACAATCCAGTCTCACCTTCATGAATTCATTATTCTGCCTTCATGTGTATCAGCAGTTCTCACATTATGTTAGGGTCCTTGCTGTTAATGCAGTGCATGCTAAAAACAATATTTGTTTTCATTGTTATTTAAGGAAAGAATTCATCAAATCCATTGATAATCATGTGCTGTTGTTTTCCCTCCAAAAGTGATGTAACTTCCTGATGGTGCCATTTAAGATATAGTTCATTTAAAAATGTATTTCTTTAGTGAAACCACAAACTGGAACTGGCTTTTGTAGGTACAATAAAGGATTAGTAGGAAAAGTGATAAAACCAAAAAATGTAATATTATAAAACATTTTTGTTTGAAACATTTTGATCAAAGCAACAATTTGAAACCCCATCGGCTAAAAAAATAAAACTGCATGCATCTTGCGGAAGAACATTGTTTTGTTTGTGCTTCGGCCTAGTCGCGCAGATTAATGTGCAATAGCATAATTTGTGTTTTACGATGGTGATTCCCGGAGGTTGGCTGTTTTTAGTAATCCATTGTCAATTTTCCTCATTTGCTTATTAGGAGAAAAAATAGCTACTTTTCCAACGAGCCAGTGACGTACAGTATAGGCATACAATTTCTGTCCCGACAGTTAAGCAATTATAGACTTCTCTGATTTAGATCAATCAATAAATGTATTTATTTATAGAGTGTATCTGGGTAAAGACGTGGTTTAGAAGATCGCGTTTTGCACTCTCTCATTAATAGCATTTTAAGAAAATAAATAGTGCAGCTTAAAGTAACAATGAAGAAACATCTGGCAGGTCTATATTTTGTGGCAAAATATGCTAAAAAAAAATAGTGGAATTACTTAAAATTTACATTTACGTTCAGTTTATATTAAAGGGGTCATATGATGTCGCTAAAAAGAACATTATTTTGTGTATTTGGTGTAATGCAATGTGTTTATGCAGTTTAAGGTTAAAAAAACACATTATTTTCCACATACTGTACATTATTGTTTCTACTCTATGCCCCGCCTTTCTGAAATGCGTTGATTTTTACAAAGCTCATCGGTCTGAAAAGCGAGGTGTGCTCTGATTGGCCAGCTATCCAGTGCATTGTGATTGGTCGAATTCCTCAAGCGTGTGACGGAAATGTTACGCCCCTCACCATACTGTGATGCCCTGTCCAGCCAGAGCGATGATTCAAAAACATTAAAACCCATTATAAACGAGGCATTTGTTGCATCCAGTGGGGACATAATTACTGATTATAATGACTTATACTGTGTTTTTACACGTTGTGTTGCATTGCGCCACGTAAACATAAAACTCTCTCTGCATTTGTGATCGGAGAAATGACAAACAACAAGCGCTACTCTACACTGCTCAAAACTCGCGTTTGAATCATCAGTGGTAAATCCTTTAAATGAAAACGTACTTACGTGAGTCAGAACTGCCGGCATTTTAGTCTAACGTTACTCTCCCAGGATCAGGAAACAGTCCTCCATAAAATGTGCCGGCGATCCACAGCACTAAGTTGAAGTATTCCCTCAGCGACCAGCACGGATCAGCTTCAGGCATGACGAAGCGGATATCGTCCTCTTTCGGAAGACCAAACAAAGTAGTTTCACTTTCACAACGACGCACACAGCGTCTTCACGACATGGAACAACAAAACTACAGCGAGACTAAAAGTTACACCTTCTTTCTTTGCGTGAACATTTGGGTGGCGTTATGCAAATCTTCCCACATTGTGACGTAGATATGTGGGGGCGTGTTAGAACGAGCCATTTAGGTAGGTGTGGCTGACTCTTAACTTT